CCCCCCCCCCCCCCCCAATTCGAGGGCGTTGCTTGCTATCGCGTAACCCGGTCTCTTACACTTCGCAGCCTACATGACCCACGGGGACTACAACGTCGTCGGCGTGGACTGGGGTGTCCTGTGCCCCAACCCCCTGTACGTGACGGCCCGCCTGAACGTGCCTTTCGTCGGAAAGCTCGTCGGCAAGCTGATGTCGTTCCTGATTGAGCAGGAGCTCGCCACCGCGGACAAGCTGCACGTCATCGGCCACAGCCTCGGCGCGCACGTCGCCGGCATCTCCGCCAAGAGCCTGAACGAGACCGAGGGGCAGCGGCCGGCACGAGTCACAGGTCCGCGCTCCGGCGGGGCAGCGAGAGGCGGCCCTTAGTTAGCCGGAAACGTGATATATTTCGCCTTTACGTCGCCAATCCGATATCGCCTCGGTATCACGTTTCTCACGGGGGTGAGAAGGGGCGGGCGACAAACTTCAGGTCTTCCATATCCCACCCCTTTTTGTTGGCAGGGCTCGACCCGGCGTGGCCGCTCTTCATTATAACCCCGGATACCGACAGGCTGAGCAAGGACGACGGTGTCTTGGTGGACGTGATCCACTCATGCGCAGGGTTGCTCGGCTTTCCTACCGACCTCGGCACCTCCGACTTCTACCCCAACGGAGGAAGGGAGCAGCCGGGCTGCGGCCTGGACCTGACCGGTAAACTATTGGAGAGCGCAACGCTCTCTTGAGATATCGGAATTTCCTATAGGATTACCACTCGCTATCCACGATCAAGCCCGCATTAAAGTCTTATCAGACGTCCGTCTGGCTTTCAAGGTGTCATGAGATTTGTGATAAGGACGTGACTCTTCTTAACTAAAATCTGTCTGATAATGCGTATGGAACAGATTACAGAGAATGAGAAATTAATAACTTACACGATTTATTTAAAGGTGTGTGCGCCCACGGTCGATCATACGAGTACTTTGCTGAGTCTATTACCAAAGGGAAAGGATACCAAGCAGATTTCTGTGACAGCAATAGCGATGCTAGAGATGGGACTTGCAAAGGTCCAAGTGAAGGCTGCATGGGAGACGAAGTTCAGTTTAAGTATGTATGAATTCTCCTTTCAGTCAATTGATCTTCATTTATCATTATTTACTTTGTATATTTTATCCATAGGGAACAAGGATCATACTACCTGAAAACAGACGACGTGGCTCCAACCAAAGTATGCTGAGATA